CACACTCACACACACCTCCGTCAGCAGAATGGCCAGCATGTCCTGTCTCTGGAAGCGGATGGCGAGGTGAACGAGAGTGAAGCCGCTGTCGAACGCTGAGGGTCGATTGAGCAGACGCACCTCGTCGGAGGTCAGCTGACGCGCGATGTCTCCTCCTGAGGACTTGTAGGCCTCCACCGCAGACAGATCACCTTCGACTACACCTGCACACACACACGCGAGCGCAGCGGGTTAGCTCTCACACGTGTTACACTACACTGTCATGATTTATAGTAACCGTTTTCAGTGAAGAAACACACACAGTGTACATCAGGAGAGCTTCTCCATACTTGACACATGAGTTGAACCGCTGCACACGTGTGGATCAGGAAACAGTTCATAAGATTATTAATCAGGCATGCCGATTTGTTCAGTGGTTAACGTGTTCTAAAGTGATCTGACGTGGTCGTTCCATGTGCTGCTCGCGGTCTCGAGACATCAGCTGTCTGAAGATCTCCGCATGCCAGACTGACCCAGAACACGAGAGCACTGACACACACTCGCAGCGTTTGGACGCTTCTGAAACCATGTAAAGGTCACAGTCACACGAGTGCGTTTACTTGTTGATCTGCTGCATGTTATTTATAAGTGTCTGAATCATATCAGAGTTTACAGCTGATGGAATGACTAATCTGAAAGATTTTAACAACCCATTCAGATGATGTGTGTGTTTAATTGTCTAATATATACATTTATGAGTAACAATAATTAATATTTGTTCTATTTTGTTTTTATCGATAATGATAACTACACACAATTACTGAACTTCAACAATTAAAATTACACTATGAATTTTTAATAGTAAAGGATAATGAATAAAGCATTCCTGTAGCTCAAACAGAACACAGCAACACAGAAGACATCTTCCACAAGTTTGTTGTGTCCAGAGCATCCGGAAACAAAAAATCATGCCCAAGAAAAAGTTTGTGATTGTATCAAATCATTGACAGCCGGGATTCTGGGTGTCATGTGAAGGATTCACTTTGTGTTGCATGCTTACTTTTTAAAGATCTAACCAAACCTTATTGATAATTTATACTACGGGGCCGTTGAACGCTTGAATCTGATTGGCTAATGAATGTTCTAATGTGTGCGATTATTTTCAGGGAAACACGGTTAAAGTAGTTCCAGGCAGGTCTTGACCGCATCACATGTCCATATCACTTCGCTTACAACAGGTATTTGAATTATTAGAAAATAATGCACACCCGAGGTGTAACGGCTACATCAGCACCTATTTCCTGAGAATTATTCATCAATTATTCCTTCATCAAAATCTATTATTGAAACAATCTTGTCAAGCGTTTCACTCTTTCCTCATTCACATAGACAGGAGCTGTGCTTGCATGACTATAATCTGCCACAAGTGAACTAGCATGCAACATTTCTTCAGGAGAATAAACTACAGAGTTTACACTGATTAACACAAAAGTCTGGCTATACGAGACTAATGCCAAACCTACACTACAAAGAGTGCACAGAAGCGCCATTTAAGTGTCTTCACACATGCTGCTCAGAGACTGCAAGAATGCATTTACACAATGTGTACTGTGATGTGGGTCAGAGCAGGCATCATTTTCTCTGGCTTGTACGCAGCATTATGTCTCAATACTGAATTCTGAGCTGGCACAGAGCAGCCTTGAGTGTATAAAGACACCTTAGGAGGTCCCTGAGAGCGAGTAAAGAGGCACTCACCAGCGCAGGCGTTGAGAAACAGCCAGTCTGTCTTCCTCATGCGGTTCTTGATCTGTTTGAGCTTCTTGAAGTCCACCTCGATCTCCTCGTTCCCGCTCTGAGCTCCAGCGGCCAGCTCGATCTGCAGCTCCGCCTCATGTTTAGAGGAGGCAGGTGAGAGCCGCTGCGCCCCGCTGCATACGCCCCGCGCTCGGCCGCGGTCCCGCTCGTTAATCACGGACGAGGGCTCGTCAGGCTCGCGCGGCTGGAAGGCGTCGTTGGGTCTGGGGTGGTCACACACCACGCAGCGAGAGGATTTGGGCCAGTTCTCGTACGAGCAGACCGAGCAGGTCCAGCACTGCGCTCGTGTGTGGAGTCGGTTCCGGTCGTTGTATTCCTCACACGGATCCGCTGGAGGGCCGGTTCCGGACGTCTGCGGGGTTTCTGTGGGGCTGTAGATGCGCTGCCGGACACTGCGGCACTGGGTGCAGCGGATCGCTCTGGGCCAGTTCAGGTAAGTGCACACCTGACACGACCATTTGCTGCTGTGCTCGGAGGACTGGGCCGGGCGGACGCGGGGCCGGGCGCTGGAATCAGGGCAGATGAGCAGGCTGTCGTTGCACACGGGGTCACACTGGTGTCCGGCGCCGCTCGGGAACAGTTCCTCTGTTATGATGGTTCCGCTGGGCCGCTGCGCTCGGCACATGGTGCACTTAATAGCAGTTGGCCAGTTTTCATACGTGCAGTACTCACACGACCACTTCACACACAGCTCTGTCATGATGGATCAGCACACACACTCACACACTCACAATACTCATATCTCACAGTATTAATGCTATTAGTGATACTCATATCTCACAATATTAATGTTATTAGTGCTACTCGCATCTCACAGTATTAATGTTATTTGTAATACTCGCATCTCACAGTACTGACAGTATTAATGTTAATAGTGCCACTTGCATCTCACAGTATTAATGTTATTTTTAATACTCATATCTCACAGTATTAATGCTATTAGTGATACTCATATCTCACAATATTAATGTTATTAGTGCTACTCGCATCTCACAGTATTAATGTTATTTGTAATACTCGCATCTCACAGTACTGACAGTATTAATGTTAATAGTGCCACTTGCATCTCACAGTATTAATGTTATTTTTAATACTCATATCTCACAGTATTAATGCTATTAGTGATACTCATATCTCACAATATTAATGTTATTAGTGCTACTCGCATCTCACAGTATTAATGTTATTTGTAATACTCGCATCTCACAGTACTGACAGTATTAATGTTATTAGTGCCACTCGCATCTCACAGTATTAATGTTATTTGTAATACTCGCATCTC